GTCCTTGCTGGCAGCACACACGCGTAGGAGGAGGAGGAGGAGGAGGAGGAGGAGGAGGAGGAGGAGGAGGAGGAGGAGTTGCACGGGTTGACTGCACTGCTTCCCGGCCAGCAGCAAGGCGGGGGCGAGGTTCGAGGCTCTGGGTGCACGAGATTTTTTGTATCTGTGTTTCGGCCCCTGGGGCATTTCTCGGGCCCCAGGACCGCTGAGAACGCATCCTGTGTGAAAAACTGCATCAGATGTGCCCCGAGGGGTGGCGGGCGACCAACTTTGAGACGATTTGCCTTTATCTCCCCCTCTTGGCCGATTTTCTCTGGGCCCATCCGGTTCAGACCCCCCGGCCACCTCCAAGGGGGGACGTACCTTGGTCCGAGCGGGGGGGCGCCGAGGTGCGAGCGGCGAGGCGGTGGGGGCGAGAGCCGGAGCAGATCCAGGATGCACGACAGACGACCCGCACAGTGAGAATGAGAGACTTCCCAAGGTTCCCCCTGCATCCTCCCCGCTGTCGCTCGCCGCGCCCCGCCCGCAGCGTGTTGACATGGCCTTCCAAGGCCCCTTGCATCCTCGTCGTGCGTCCTTATTGTGCGGGCTGGCTGCAGCGATGCTCCATGCCACCCTCCCGTCCAGATCTTTCGTGGCGCTCAGCTGTGCTTATCGGCGCGCGCAGTCTGCTTCTGTCCGTTGCTGCTGGCCTCCATCCGTCAGCCCTCCCCTCGGGGGCCTGGCGGTAGCCGCTAATCTCAGCTCACGGGGCCGACGGGCAAGAGGCGTCGGTCGCCTCCGGGTCCGTGTACGTGTCTGCGCGTGTCTGCGCGCGTGTGTGTGTGTGTGTGTGTGTGTGTGTGTTTGTGTGTTCGTGTGCTTGTGAGTACGTATATGCTTCTGTGCTTCTGTGTTTCTGTGCTTCTGTGTTTCTGTGGTTGTGTGTGGTTGTGTGTGGTTGTGTTTGTGTGTGTGTTTGTGTGTGGTGGGGTTTGTGCTGGTTTGTGTTCATGTGTATTAATGGTTCATGCGAGCTTGTGTGTATGTGTAGTTGTGTGTAGTTGTGTGTGGTTGTGTGTGTGTCCTTGCGTGTGATGGTGTACATGTGTGTATGATGCTTGTGTGTGGTTGTGTGTATATGTGTGTGTTTGTGTGTGTTGTGTTTGTATTTGCGTGTGTGTGTGCTTGTGTGCTTGTGTGTGTTTGTTGTGTTTGTGCTTGCGTTTGTGTGTTGGTAAGTGTGTTTTTTACGTCGGTGTGTGTTTGTGTGTACCTGTGTGTGTGACTCTGGCCTACTGTGATTACAGCTCCACTGCATGCAGCATCCCCTCGGTGGTCCCTTTCACCGTCTCTGAAGTATAGGGCCAGCTGGGCGCCGTGCAAGGAAGTAGAAACATCAGAAGCACCCCTCTGAGAGACGAGCACCCGTGGCGTGCTGTTCGGGCGAGAGCCACGCTTCGAAGAGCAGCGCGCAGCTTCCGAAAGGGGAACGTGGTCCGCAACGACAGCTCCGTGCTGCCACGGGTCTGCCCGCCATCCGCGTGAGTGTTGCACACGCGTGCGCTGCTGGTCACCACACCCGAGCTGGGTAGTCGAAGGCCAGACTGTCAGATTGGATTGGGCCCCACGGGCCAATCTGGCCTGGCCAAACTGGATGATTTGGGTTATTCGCCAGACTGGATTCGCGTTGGCTCCCTCGCCAGATTGCCCCCGTTTGCCAGATTGGGCCTGCCAGATTGGCGCCAGATTGGCTTCGACTACCCAGCCGAGGAAGTTTGAAGCGAGGGCCCCATTTCGCAAAGGCAGCGCCCTGCATCTCTGCAGCTGCTACACACGTCTATGCTTCTGGTTTGTCGGTTCGAGCGCTTCTCACGCAAGCGCCCTCGTTTGAAAAGGAGCCGTCCTCCACCCTTCCAAATGATTGCTGCAAGCCGTTAGCGCCAAGGTGCGCGGCGCTAAAGCGAGAGCTCCATGTTGAAAAGAGTCCGTCCTCCAGCCTGGCATTGTTGCAAAATGGTTGCGACGAATGTGCGCGGCAGTACGGGGAGAGTCCCATTTTGAAAAGGGTTAGTCCTCCATCCTTGTAGCTGTTGCAAGCTTTCGAGACTTCTGCGCGCGGCGCTAAGGCGAGAGCCCCATCTCGAACAGGGGGCGGCGCCACCCATCCTCGCTGCCGATGCAGGTTAAAAGTCGAGAGTGCGCGGCGCTGGAAGTAGAGCCGCAGTTGGGGTCCGCCCTCCATCCTTGTATCTGCTGCCGACCTTTCAGACGAACGCGCGCGGCGCTGAATCCGAGAGCCCCCGCTTTCCAAAGGGGTCGTCCGCCATCCTGGCAGCTGGTGGGACGTGGAAGCTTCAGGACCACGAGTTGTTAGGAGGTCTCATGCGGACCGCCCAGACCGACCTACCGACACGTCTGGTGATGCGACAGGGGGGAGTTCTCCAGCAGGGAAACTGCATAGACATACAGTCAAAAAACCTAATCAGGACGCGCGACTTTACTCAGGGTACCCTTGCGTCCTTGCTCTTCCTTGCTCTTGCGCCCTTGGGGTTTTCGTCGTCCGCCGCCCCAGAAATCCCGACTTCGGCTCGCAAGGGTCTTGCGTCCTTGCCGCGCGTCCTCATTGGGGTGTTTGACTGTAATGTGCTGGAGGTCCACGCGGACTTCGCGGGTCGGTGCGAGAAAGTCCACGCCGAGCGTCGGCTCCGCATCGAGCGGCGAGCCCGCGCCGAGTCCCGCGCCGAGTCGACGTCGACGCGTCGGGTCCGCGTCGAGCCCGTGCCGCGGCCGCGCCGCGGGCCGCGGAGCGCGGAGCGCCCCGCCGTCGCGGCAGCGGCCCAGGCCTGGCGGGATGCGGCGCTGCGCCGCGAAGCCTACCGCAGGGACCGCAGGGGAGGGGGGGGCCTCGTCGACGTCGACGCGGTCGCTGCGGTCGTCATCGCAACCGCCGGCCTCGTCGCCGTCGTCGCCGCGGTCGTTCGCCGTCGGCGACGTCGTCGGCGTGGTCGTTGCGGTCGTCGTCGCGGCCCCCGTCATCGTCGCCGTCGTCGTGGTGGCCGTCGTTGAAGTGGCCCATCGTCGCCGGGGCCGCCGTCGTGGCCGTGGCGTCGCCGTCGTGGGCAGCAGAGGTCCGCGGTCTCGGGTTTGCAGGCAGGGCGGACCGCGGGGCATAGTTGGCGCTGGACGACGACGCCGACGTCGACGACGACGCTGACGCCGCCGCCGCCGCCGCCGCCGCAGCCGACGACGACGACGACGACGACGACGACGACGACGACGACGACGACGACGACGACGAACGACGCCGACGCCAACGCTGACGCCGACGCCGACGACGACAATGACGACAGCGACGACGACGACGACGACGACGACGACGACGACAGCCGCTCGGGGGGGACAGCCGCCTCTCTTGGAGGGTTTCCATTGGGGGTGTCGGATGGAGCTCCTTCGTCGCCACAGCCAGAGTCTCCTCGGAGCTCCTGGTCGGTGCGCATCCGAGAGGTTTGGGAACCGAGGGGCTGGTAACGACTCCACGTAGGTTGGATTCCGTCTCCAATGGAGGAGTGGGGCATGGGTCTTCCTGAATTCCTGGAGAGGTGTTTGGAATTTCCCCTCCAGCATGCTTCGCGAATGCTAGACTTCGTTTCCCTTCCACAGAACCGGGCCCGTCTTCTCCCCCAGCTGCGCAGCCGCGCGACCCGCGAGAGGGGGCGCCGTTTCGCCGACTGCCCCCGGTGGTCGACACGAATCCGTTAGCCAAGGAACGTGCGTTAGAGGTAAAGAGGATTATGTCCCGAGTGGAGCAGGTATACATCTGCCTCCGAGTTGGATGCTACTGTGCGTCATATAGGGAGGTGCATGAGGGGTCGAAGTCGAAGCCGTCGATGCTGAAACCAGTTGTACCATGCGTCTACTGCGACCAGACCAATACTGCTCTGCATATGGACCTTTGGACTCCTCATCAGCGTGCGTATTCACGCTGGGCCGGCGCGCGCCACAACGCTCCCGCCGAGATCATAGCGCGCGAGAAGATGCTCTTCGAGTGGTGGTGCCGGGCCGAGATCAACGAGGGCGCGGCGGAGCTGAGCGAGGAGGCCGACGCCCTGACGGCAATGTCGGTCGATTGTGGCCCCCCTCAGAACGAGACGGGGCAGACATCCGCCGCGGGGGTGATGGTATTTGTCATAACTCATCCTCTTGGCCCTGGCGGGCCGATCGTGGACTGGGCTCGTCTCCCATGCCCTCGTCGATGTCGTCATCGTCGGTGGCGACCTTGGCCTCCTCGGCTGCTGCCCTGCGGGCGCTGCCCTTGTCGAAGGCGACCTTGAGGACGCTGCCTGGGATGCGCTTGCTGGCTGACTTGTCCACCGCGATCCTCATGTTGACCGTCTTTGGGGTGATCTTGGGCTCTGCTGGCTTGGCTGATGCTGATGCCGCCCTTCCTGGTCTGGGCGTTGTCACCGCCCCCTCTGCTGGCGCCCCTGCACGTTCACCTGGTGCTGCCACTTCTCCTCGTGCTGGCCGAGGCGGCCATGGCGCCGGCACTGCTGCCAGCCGTGCTGGAGCCGCGCCTGCGTGGGCCTGCTGGCTCGCTGGCGCTGGTGCCGGTGCCTGGCCCTGCCTGCCCCGCTGGCTGTGCCAGCGCTGCACTGTTGATGACCGCGGCGAGGGCCTGCCGGGTGTTCGCCACCCGGGTGGCGAGGCCGCCGACTTGGGCTGCCAGGTCGGTGGCCGCCGTGCACGCTGCTGTGGTTGCCGTCTGGCCTGGGCTCTGGTTGGCATCCCTCGGGTGGTGGATTGGCCGATGTGGGAGCTGCCAGCGGCGTTGGTGGCACTTCTTGCTCCTGGCCATGTTTGTCATCCATGATAACATCATCGCCTTCTTCTTCTTCTTCTTCTTCTTCTTCTTCTTCGAGGCGTTCGAAGTGATCAGGTCTTCTGCCTCCTACACATCCTCGAAGAGCGCCTGCGTGAGGGTGACCGCTTTCCTGTGCTCGTCAAGCGCCTGGTCCTTCGCTCTTTGGGCGCCACTCAAATGCTTCCTGATTCTGTCAACACGTGCCTTCTGCTGCTCCGTGCGTGCTTCCGGATCCCTGGCGTACATGATCATGTACAGGGTGGCCGCACGGTCCTGCTCTAGCTCTGCGATGCGAGCTGATCTCTGACCGATCTGGTGGGCGCTGTTGATCTGCTTCTCCAGTCCGTCGAGGCTGATCTTCAACTGGTCTCGATGAGCGATGATATTCGGGGGTGGACAGAACCCCCAACAGTGACACGTCGATTAGTGAATTGTCCGTTTTCGGTTCTCGAGATGGCGCCGTGGCCGTTATTTTCCAGGCTCGCGCCCGCCAGGTTTGGGCCTCAGGTCGTTTTCACTAAACCACGTTTTGCTAAAGGGGGGTCTGTCCATCCCCGAACGTGGGCATTGGCAACCAGAATCGATGCTTCGTGGCCCCCCTCCGGCTGCGCTGGACGTGGCAGCGGTGGCGTGAGCTGGTCCTTCGACTTCCTGTCAGGAGGGAAAGAAACACACAGACACAATTCATCGGCGATTCCCCAGAAGATATGCGAAAATATGGGAAGTGGGGGGGGAGACAAAAACACAGAAAATATAGGAAAAGATGGGGAATCTGTTAATTTAATCGCTTCGCTCATGCCGCCGGCCCTGGAGCCCTCTTTAGGGCATCTTGGGGGCCTCTTGGGGACCTCTTGGGAGTCTCTTGGGGCTCCTTGGCGGCGTTTTGGAGGCCCCCAGGGCCTCTTGGGGGGCTCTTGGGGGTAGTCGATTGCGGCTCCCCCCTCGGAGGCCACGATCCTCGTGAGGGGTGTCGAAAAATACCCTCCCCTGGAGTGGTCTGGTGGCTTCTCCCGGGCTTCTCTCGGGACCTTGCCGGGGTACTTTTCGTCCGGGGGCCCCCAGGGGCCGCTCCGCGCGCGCGAACTAGAAATATTGTTAACAAGTTACCGGAGATCTTAGCACGCCTCTGGCCCGTTGGGCCGGCGAATTTGTGTGTATTTATTTGTGTGTCTCAGGGCCCCTTCATTCCTGTCAGGAGCACGTGCTGACCTGGCCCGCCTCGGGCGTGCTCCTCCTGCTGCGTCTTCTTGCCACCGTTGCCCCTGGTGGGTCCAGCTCGTGGACCACTGCGGCTTCCTCGTGCGAGACTGGTAGATCCTCGGGGGAGAAAGAGATACGGATACGTGTTGTCCCCCCTCGTTCTCGGCCTTTCCTGGCCCTCCTGGGGAATCCTCGTTGTCACCGCTGGATTCGCCTCGAAATTCTGGTCAGAACGCACCCCGAGAGAGGTCCGGGGACAACACGTATCCGTATCTTTCCGCCCCCCAATATCCACGGTGGCGACGAGTCAATTTCGTCTGGGACATTGTCTCTGATGTTGTCTGGCTCCGGCACGCAGGATCTGCACTTCTTGCTGGAGTATATGTTCGTCCTCTGGCACTTGCTGCATGACCAAAACTGTGCCTCAAGACGATTGGCTGGCTGGCTGGCTGGCTGGTGCTGGACTGCGCCATCGAGCTGTGGTGTCGGTCGAGCAACTCTCTGGCTGCTGCAATGCGGAGGAACTTTATGGCGATCCCCCTCCGTGCTCTCAGGCGGCGGTGCCACGCTGGCTTGAATGTGCGGCGCGTGGTGGCGAACGTCCACTGTTTGGGCACGGCCGTCCAGACGCTGGAATGGCGGGTCGGCGCGTCTAGCGGCAGTCCCGAGAGGCTCGCAGGTTCCTGGAACCAGCACCCAAAGCCTCGGGCCGGGACGGCAGCTGAGGAGGGAGGAGGTAGGAGGAGAAGGAGGAGGAGGAGGAGGGGGAGGAGGAAGAGAAGGAGAATAGGGAGGAGGAAGGAGGAACGATGGGGGGAGTAAGATGAAGGAGGAGAAGGGGAGGAGGAAGAGGACGAGGATAAGGAGGAGGGAGGGAGGGAGGGAAGGAGGGAGGAAGGGATGGAGGGAGTCATCTTCGCCAGCACCATCAGCAACACCAGCACCAGGGTCATCAGTATCGTCATCACCATCGTCGTAATCATCATCCCCATCGTCACCATGACCATGCTCACCATTATCAGCAGCATCAGCGCCTTCATCCTCAGTAGCAAGATCATCACAAGCATCACCTGCATTATCATTCGTATCGCAGTCATCCCCCCCATTCCCCTCCTCCTACTCCCCTTCTCCCCCCTTTCTCGCTCCCGTCATCCGTCCTTCCTCCCCCTTCTCCTCTCTCCCCTCAGGTACCGCCTAGCCCCCTTCATCCTCCCCTCCTTTCCTTCCTCGTGCCCAGCGGGAGCAGCCACCGCACCCCCCACCCCCCCCACACACACACCCCTTCAGCGTGGCCCTCCGCGCGCCCGCCCTAGGGTGCGCTGGCAAGGGGAGGTGCTGCTGTCGAGGCTGACCATGGGGCGTAGCTACAGGCACGCGGCGGGGCCGTCCTGCCCAAGCCGCTGTCGTGGTTTCCCCCTTCATCTTCCCGCCCTCCTTCCCTCCTCCTCCTCCCTCCTCCTCCTCCTCCTCCTCCTCCTCCTCCTCCTCCTCCTCCTCCTCCTCTCCTCCTCCTCCTCCTCCTCCTCCTCCTCCTCCTCTCTCCTCCTCCTCCTCCTCCTCCTCCTCCTCCTCCGCCTCCCCCTCCTATCCTCCCTCCTCCTCCCCGTCCCTCCTCCCCCATCCATCCTCCTCCCCTCCTTGCCTCTGCGGGTTGGCGCGGCGCCTCGGGGCGGTGGGCGCAGCGAGACGCCGGGGTCCTACCCGCCCCAGGCCAGAATCCTGCGCGGATGCCCCCGCACCACACGGCGATCGGGGGAGGCTCACAGACGCTCGCCACCTTAACTTTGCCCAAAAACGGGGTCGACTGCGCCGACATTGGCGCGTAAGCTGCCCCGCGTAAGCTCGCTGGTAAGCGCCCTTGTCTCTAACGCAGCGTGCTGCGCCAGCGGCCCGCGTAAGCCACCGCGCAAGGTCGCTACGCCATCTCGCGTAAGACCCGTTTTTGATCGTCGCTCATTTGGCACCCTTTGGAAAGGTGCCTGTGGAGGTGGTTGTAGGCCCCGTGCCTACGAGGGCCTGGTGACCCGCCCGGTCGTCGAGGGATTCCAGAGTCCCCGACTTGCTGGGCAGGCGGGGGGCGGGGGGCGGGGCAGTGGCCTCGTTGTCAGAGCGCGGCGTGCGCGGTGAGTGCTCTGGCACCTCATTGCGGGTGGTCCTCTGTGGCCCAAGTGCTGTGGAGGGGCCACCTCCATTTCCCGGGAGCCCCGACTCGACCAGGAGCGTGCTTGCGCGCACGCTGCGATTTTGCCTTGCAGCGTGTACGCGACACTCCGTGCATTGAAGGGAAAAGGATTTACGCTCTATTGTCTCTCATGTCACTATTGCCTCCATGTATTCTTCCTTCGCCCCTTGCCACCCGCAAATCCAGTTCCTCCTCCTCCTCCTCCACCTCCTCCTCCTCTTCCTCCTTTTCCCTCCTCCCTCCTGCCCCCCTCCTCTTCCTCTTCCCCCTCCCTCCTCCACTTCAATGGAGGCGAGGAGGAGGAGGAGGAGGAGGAGGAGGAAGAGGAGAGGAGAGTAGGAGGAGGAGAGGAGGACGAGGAGGAGGAGGGATAGTGCACAAGTGGCGACGACGAATGGCGAGAACGATGCCGACGAACGACGATGACGAGTGACAACCGCGACCACGACGACAAGCAACGACAACGAGCGACAACGGTGGCGAGCAGCGAGAGGCGACGACGACGACGACGACGACGATGACGACGATGACGACGAGGTTTCCAGAAGGCCCGGAAGCAGTCTGGAGTTTACCAGGGACGCCCCCCAGAACACACGCTGGCCTGGACCCAGACATCCGCCGATTTATTTAATCGCTTCGCTCATGCCGCCGGCCCTGGAGCCCTCTTTAGGGCCTCTTGGGGGCCTCTTGGGGACCTCTTGGGAGTCTCTTGGGGCTCCTTGGCGGCGTTTTGGAGGCCCCCAGGGCCTCTTGGGGGGCTCTTGGGGGTAGTCGATTGCGGCTCCCCCCTCGGAGGCCACGATCCTCGTGAGGGGTGTCGAAAAATACCCTCCACTGGAGTGGTCTGATCCTATGGTCGATGGCCCCCGGGCCTGCTGGAAGGGCCCCGGAGGCCGCACAGACCGGACCCTCGCACCTCTGCGGAGCCGCCGTGCGGGCCGCTGCCCTCGCGCGGGCGCCGCCCGCGCCTCCCAGAGGCCCGCCGTCGGACCCGAAGGCGCCGCCCGGAACAGGTCCTCCTCCTCCTCCTCCTCCTCCTCCCTCCTCCTCCTCCTCCTCCTCCTCCTCCTCCTCCTCCTCCTCCTCCTCCTCCTCCTCCTCCTCCTCCTCCTCCTCCCCCTCCCCCTCGAGGGAGGTGCCCCGAGGGAGATGCCCCGAGGGAGGCGCCTCGAGAGAGGTGCCTCGAGGGGGGTGCCTCGAAGTGGGGCGCCTCGAGGGAGGTGCCTCGAGGGAGGTGCCTCAACAGGGGGGGGGGGGGGGGGAAGTGGGGCGCCTCGAGGGAGGTGCCCCGGGCGCCTCCGCGGCGTCTTGGAGCGCCAGCGGCCCCGGCCAGGGCCGCCTGCGCCGCGCCCAGGGGTGAGAGGAGGCAGCCCCGAAGGGGAGGGAGGAGGGAGGGGAAGGAGGAGGGGAGGGAGGAGGAGGAAGGAGGAGGAGGGAGGGAGGGAGGGGAGGGAGGGGAGGGAGGAGGAGGAGCCCCGAAGGGGAAGGAGGAAGAGGAGGGGAAGGAGGAGGGAGGGAGGGGAGAACAGGGCTAGGATCTGGATAAATCGCTCCAGAGCGTTCCGCAGCGCTCTCGGAGCGTTCCGGAACGCTCTGGAGCGGCCGCGGCGCCCAATACATCCTCCAAACCCGCCGATTCTCAGAGATTTCGAGTTATCCCGATCCGATTTTGTCCCGCTCTTCGCGTCGTTTTAGAGGGAGGAGGAGGCAGTTTCTACTGCCCGCCGAGAGCTTCGGCGGGGGGGTCCTCAATGTTGAAGTCCCTTCGCGGTCAAATGGGAGCAGCACCGCAGGACGAGATGATTCTCCAGACACGATCGCGTCGTTACTTGATGAAAATCCAGGCGGGAGGTTTTTCGCCATGTTCGGCCCCCGTGGGCCCTCGCCGGGCGCCGGGGCCGTCAAGAAACGGCTCAGGATGAAGAGCTGGTCCTGCAGGGACAGTGTCGGACTTCGGGGGCGGCGTTTTGAAAGAACTCGGGACGTCACCTGTCCAGGCTCATCTCCAGCTGGGCGACGCAAGAAAAGGGGGTCGACCGCGCCGACATTCGCGCGTACCCTTCCCGCGCAAGGTCGCGCGCAAGCGCCCACATCTCAAACGCAGCCTGCTGCGCGGGCGGCCTGCGTAAGCCACTGCGCAGGGTTACGATGCCATCATGCGTAAGACCCCTACCTGATCGTCGCCCAGTTGACCAGGGTGAAGCCTCAATCAGAGCCCCGAATCATCAGGGGTAACTCGGGTCAGGGCTAGCTCGGGTTCGTTTTTTCGGGAATCCGAACCCGAGTTACCCCGGACCCGAGTTACCCCGGATAACTCGGGTGCCCAGAGCCCCGAGTCATCAGGGGTAACTCGGGTCAGGGCTAACTCGGGTTCGTTTTTTCGGGAATCCGAACCCGAGTTACCCCGGACCCGAGTTACCCCGGATAACTCGGGCGCCCAACTCAACGCCGCCAGCCGACCGCCCCCAGGTCGGGGCGAGCGCCACGGAGCCCGACAGGAGCGGCGCCCATCCCCCCACGGCAGCGGGGAGGCGGCTTGCCCCACGGGCAGGGGGACTGGCCGACCGACGCCGAGGAAACACCGCGAGGGGCTCGGGGGGGGCGGCGAGGGAGGTGGGGGAGGAAGTGAGAATGAAGGGGCCCCAGGGCACACAAATAAATACACACAAACAAAAGGCTTCCCCATGTTTTCCCATATGTTCTGGGTTTTTGTCTTCCCCCCCACTTCCCATATTTTCTTATATTTTCCTGGGAGTGGACGATTAATTGTGGCTGTGTGTTTTTTCCCTCCTGAGAGAAGGAGAAAGCCTTCTCAGAAGGTGCCAGGCCTTCTCAGAAGCCCTCGCGCCTTCTGAGGAGCGTTCCGTGTCTTCCGGGCAGTCTTCGCGCGCCGTCGCCTGCAGTCGGCCCAGATTAGTGGGTCGACCCTGCCAAATCAAGGGCACCCTTGTGTCCTGTGTCTCGCGACCCATGCTTCCTACATTTCTGTGGCAATGTGGCCCTCGGAAGAGTCCTGTGTCCTCTCGCGTGTCCTGTCCAATCGAGTCTGACTGCATCACCGCCGAAAGGGAGGGGCGAGGAGGAGGAATCCGCCAGGCACTTGGCTGCCTGCACCCTCCAGCGCTACGTCCGCCACCGCATGGCCTCCCGCCCCGCCGAGCCGAGCCCGCGCAGGAGCGTCCGCCGCCGTCGTTGTCGCCCGCGTCTCCGTCATCGCTTCTGTCGCCCTCCGTCGTCGCTTTTGTCACTCGTTGTTCGCTCGCTCGTCGCTGCTTGTCGTCGGCGTCGTCGTCGGTGTCGGCGTCGGCGTCGGCGTCGTCGTCTTCGTCGGCGTCGTCGTCGGCGTCGTCGTCGGCGTCGTCGGCGCCGTCTGGACGCGGATGCCTGCCAAGCCGCCAGGTGCGCATGGCGTGGCCAGCCCGGTCGGGCGCTGGCGGGCGCACGCGCGCGACCGCGGTGCCTCGGGATCGGCGAGGCGCGGCCGAGGGGTCGCCGAGTGGGCCGCCGAGGGGGCCGCCGAGGGGCCGCCGAGGGGGCCGCCGAGGGGGCCCCTCCCATGTGTCGCTCCCCTCGTAAGCGACGCCCGAGTGGGTGCCGCGGGCCACGGCGAGCGCGTTTGCTCATCTTGTTCGCCCGGGTTACAGCCGGACCGAGGTATAAGTATAAGTTCGAGGTCGGCTCGGGGAGGGTACCCTCATGTTCTTCGTGCTTGTTGGATGCTCTTGTGCATCCTGGGGGGGTGCCCGTGGATGTTCTGTGCGCTTTGGCCAGCAGAGGGTCTCGTGTCCTCGAGGGACGTTTGTCGGGTTTAGGTCCGGCTGTATCCGGGGCAGCTCCGACCTGGACCCCCGCGCGCGAACAGCTGGGTGTGGTAGGGTTGCCCTGAATGACCGATGCAGCTAACCTGGTCTCGTTTTCGCCTTCTCTCGGCCTCCTGAGAGGCCCTCGTCACCACCGTTGGGTTCGCCTCGAATTTCTGGTCAGAACGCACCCCAGGGGAGATCCGGGGTGTGCCGGTGTTGGTTTGCTTCCCCGAGCTCCTGTCGGGGGTGTCTCTGGAATGCGCCCCCGACGCACGAAATAGGAGTTACCCTATGTCGGGCATGTCCCTCTACAGGGGGAATATTCAAAATTAGTTAAAAAATAGTCTGGGACGATTTTTTTCAAATCATTTTTGAGTATTTGGGGGGCATGTTGTTGAGTATTTCCTTTCGCCCAAAATCAGCCTAAAGGGGGACACGCCCGACTTAAAGTTACCCTGACCGCCCCCAGCCCTGATATTCGGGAGTGGCCGGACGCCCGAAGTATCCGAGATCACAGGGTTGTGCGCCCGAGGTGCGAAGCCGCAGCTACCCTTAAGTCGGGCTTGTCCCTCTACAGGAGGAGTATCCAAAAATAGTAAAAAACATGTCTGGGAACAATTGTTTAAACTATGTTTGCCCATTGGGGGAATATTTTTGTTTGTAGTTTCTATCTTTCGCCCGAAACCCCCCTGTAGGGGGACACGCCCGACTTACCCTTAGAAAGTCCAGGGTTCGCCAGGGGCTGGTCGCCTGTCAAAGCAGCCGAACCCTCCCGAAATCCTCCGAAAACCCTCCAGAAAAGGTTCTGGGAGGCATTTCGGAGGGTTTCGAGCGGGTTTGGGAAAGCTTTTCGTTGATTTGGGGGGGACCAGTCCCTGGCGAGCCCTGGGTTTTCCAAAGCTGCCCCTGACCACCCCCCGCCCTGATGATTCGGGGCCCTGGTCATCATCGAAGCCCCAGGATCGGCGGCCCGGGAGGACGATGACAGTGACCACGAGCACGACGACGACGGCGGCTGCGACGTCGACGACGTTCACGCCGACCGCCGACGGCCACGACCGCGACCACGACCACGACCACGAGCACGAGAACGAGGACGAGGACGAGGACGAGGAGGAGGAGGAGGAGGAAGAAGAAGATGAGGGAGGAGGAGGAGGAGGAGGAGGAGGAGGAGGAGGAGGAGGAGGAGAGGAGGGAAGAGGGAGGAGGGCGGAGGGAGGAGGGAGGACGAGGCACCCGCGACCGGCGACCCGTGGCCCCGGAAGGAGGAACTGGTCCGCGTTCGGCAATCTGGCGGCCATGGGGCGCGGCAGCGAGCGCTGCACCACCCGCGACGCTGGCCGGCGGCGGGCGAACGGGGAGATCAGGGGCAACGATAGGGGGGGATACAGTCGGGGCCCTGAAGAAGGAACCCTTTTCGTTGGGGAGGGGCTCCGCGTCCCTTAAGTGTTTCACAGCTTGCCTCGGGCTTTCCTTATGTCTTCGACAGGCAATCGAAGGTTAACTTATGGAAAAAAGGGGCCTCGTTCCTTCTTTAGGGTTCCTTAGGTCAACGCCCCGACTGTAGGCATAGGGGGGGGGGGATGCGTCGACCCTCAATCGCCCACTGATCGCCGGTGGGTGTCCAATAGCCCCCAACCTCTCTGGGAACGTGCAGACTCACTATCGGAGGCCTATCGCCGATTCCAGGTCGACGTTTCCCCCCTATCCCCATCCCCCCCTATCGTTGCCCCTCAGGAGAGCCAGCCGGCGACGCAGGCGGACCTCAACAAGCTGAGGTGCCCCTCGTCGTCGTCGTAGTCATGCCCGTCGCCCAGGAGGACGACGAGGAGGAGGAGGAGGAGGAGGAGGAGGAGGAAGAAGATAGAGCGGAGGAGACCAGGAGACGAGGAGGCGGACCTCGACAAGCTGAGGCGCCGCTCGTCGACGTCGTCGTGCTCGTGCTCGTCGCCGAGGAGGGCGAGGAGGAGGGGACGAGGAGACGAGGTGGCGGACTCCGACAAGTTGACGTGCCTCTCGTTGTGGTCGTGCTTGTCGCTCGGGAGGACGAGGAGGAGGAGGAAGAGGAGGAGGAGGAGTGGTAGTTCATTGTATTGTGGTGAATGGCTTGTGGCAGTAGTATGTTGGCAATTTCTGGGACGCTTGTTTCCCCACCAATGTTCAAGCAGTGGCGAAGCGTCCTAGCTTGCCTAAAGGCCTGCCAAAGAATGTTCTAAGAACCTTTTTGTGGTCTGCACGAAATTTTCTTAGAACCTTTCTGGCTGGGGCTGTCTTGTTTTGACACATCGGGCTGATGGTCTAAGAACATCGTTTTTGTGATTCAAACATTTGTGGGTTCTAGGGACATTTCGTGGTAGGCCTGTAGGAATGCCGGGACGGTCGGTCCCTGCTCAAAATGTCCTCGTTTCTCGCAGAGGCCCTGGCTCTAAAGGAAGCCTCCCTCTTCGTATACATATAACGGCGCACTGGGCCCGGGGGCCCAGGGCCGGAACCTCGACCACAAATGTGGGCACCGGGGCCCAGGCCCGCCTCCTGGATGCTTAAAATCGCTCCGGGGAGCCCTCAGACAGCAGTCCCGGCGGCCCCAGACGGTCTCGAGACACCCCCAAGACGCCGTCCAGGGGTCTCTGGCGACGCACGATGCGTTTTAAATTGCCCAGAGGCCCCCAAGAGGCCTTTCAAGATGCCGCCCAAGAGCGCCCCGAGAGGACAAAATCGCTGATGTTCATGATTTTTCCCATGTTGGTTTGCATTCGCTGTTTCGTGTTTCTGGCGCTAAAGCACCGCCCAAGAGGCTCCCAAAAGACGGCCCATCAGGCCCCCAAGAGGGCCTCAAGATGCCCCAAGAGAGCCCCGAGACGGCCCCAGAGCCGCCCAAGACGGCGCCAGAGGGTCCCAAGAAGGCCCCAAGAGGGGCCCAAGAGAGGGAACGCGAACTGAAAAATCAAGCTCTCCGCCCCAAGATGCCCCCAAGAGGCCAAAAGAGGCTCCCAGGAAGCCCCCAAGAGGCCCCAAGAGGCCCCCAAGAGGCCCCAAGAGGCCCCCAAGAAGCTCAAAAGAGCTCCCAAGCTGGCCCGAGAGGCGCCCAAAGCGCCCAGGTTGTCTGGAAGTTGGCTGAAGAGCGCACTGAGATGGCTTCCGGACGGGCCACGAGCGCTCGAAGACAGCCCAAGACTGCTCCTAGACGGCCACAAAGGCACTCAAGACGGTCCAAGAGGCCGCCGAGCAGGCCCTTCAAGGGCGAAAATCAAGCATTTCCGATGGAAACACATACGTTTCTTTGATATTTGCTTTTCAGTCTTACCAGCGGCCGCGACGGCCCCAGAGGCTCCCAAAATGAGCCCCAGACGGCCTGAAGAGAGCTTCAAGCAGCACAAGAGAGCTCCAACACGGCCCAAGAGAGCACCCAGGAAACCCGAGGGGGCCACCAGAGGATCCCTACATGGTCGGAGAGGGCCCCCCGAGGGCCCCAAGACGCGCTCAGGTCCCCATGACGGGCGAAGAGGGACCCAGAACGGCCGAACTGGGCTCCCAGAGGGTCCAAAACCGGCCTACCAGGATTCCCTGAAGACGGTCCAGGAGGCCGTTGAGAAGGCTCCCGGGTACAAAAAACGAGCATTCCCCATGGAACAATGCACATTTCTATGATCGGAGATTGGGGGGTGAGATCGCAGTGGAACGGAGACCCCCAACCAGCAAATCGTTTCGTTTCGTTCGTGCCGTGCGTGCGGGCGAGGCGAAGCTGCGTGGGCGCGCGAGAGGAATGAACCCGCCGTTGCTGGGGCGAATTCAAGACCAATGATTCTCCCCCGCCCGCACGTCCGGCGGTAGCTCGCGGTGTCCCGCGGTGTCACCGCGGTGTCCCGTGGTGACCCGTGGTGTCCTGTGGTGTCCGCCGTTGCTAGGGCGAAGTCAAGACAAATGATTCTCCCCCGCCCGCCCATCCGGCGTTGGCTCGCCGTGTCCCGCGGTGTCCCGTGGTGTCCCTTGGTGTCCGCCGTTGTTAGGGCGAAGTCAAGACAAATGATTCTCCCCCGCCCGCCCGTCCGTCCGCCCGTCCGGCGGTGGATCGCGGTGTCCCCTGGTGTCCCGTGGTGTCCCGTTGAGTGAGATCGATATTGAGATCGATAGTTACTGAGATCGATGTGGTGCCCCGAGGTGTCCCGTGGTGTCCCAAAAAGTGAGATCGATAGTGAGATCGATAGTAAGATCGACAGGTGTCCCTTGGTGTCCCGTGGTTTCCCGTTGAGTGAGGTCGACAGGTGTCCCGTGGTGTCCCAAAAAGTGAGATCGATAGAGGGATCGATAGTGAGATCGACAGGTGTCACGTGGTGTCCCGTGGTGTCCCGTTGAGTGAGATCTATAATGAGATCGATGTGGTGTCCCGTGGTGTCCTATGGTGTCCCGTTGAGTGAGATCGATGCTGAGATCGATGTGGTGCCCCGAGGTGTCCCGTGGTGTCCCAAAAAGTGAGATCGATAGAGGGATCGATAGTGAGATCGACAGGTGTCCCGTGGTGTCCCGTTGAGTGAGATCGATTGTGAGATCGATGTGGTGTCCCGTGGTGTCCTATGGTGTCCCGTTGAGTGAGATCGATAGTGAGATCGATGTGGTGCCCCGAGGTGTCCTGTGGTGTCCCAAAAAGTGAGATCGATAGTGAGATCGACAGGTGTCCCATGGTGTCCCGTGGTGTCCCGTTGACTGAGATTGATAGTGAGATCGATAGTGAGACCGACAGTGAGATCGATAGTGGGATCGATATTGAGATCGATGTTGTGCCCCGAGGTGTCCCGTTGAGTGAGATCGATAGTGAGATCCATGTGGTGTCCCGAAGCGTCCCGTGGTGTCCTATGGTGTCCTGTGCTGAGATCGATGTGGTGCCCCGAGGTGTCCCGTGGTGTCCCAAAAAGTGAGATCGATAGTGAGATCGATAGTGAGATCGACAGGTGTCCCGTGGTGCCCCGTGGTGCCCCGTGGTGTCCTGTTGAGTGAGATCGATAGTGAGATCGATTGAGTTAGATGTTGGTCCCCCACTCCCCCCCCCACAACCTCCTTATCACCCGAAGGGTGGTCGTATAGGTATTCGCTTCTTATGTTCCATCGGCGGCCACGTCTGCCCCAAAGGCTCCCCTAAATCGCGGCCCACGAGGCCCCCAAGAGGCCTCCAGGACAGCCTCAAGAGAGCGTCTTGCAGCACAGGAGAGCTCCAAAACAGCCCGAGAGTCCCCAGGGGGCCCGAGAGAGCCACTGGAGGATCCCTACATGGTCGGAGAGAGCTCCATGAGGGCCCCAAGACGGCTCAGCTACCCATGACATGCCAAGAGGGGCTTGGGACAGCCGAAATGGGCTACCAGACGGGCCACGAAAGGCCCAAAATGACCCCCCCACACACACGATTGTCCAAGAGGCCGTTGAGAAGGCCTTCTAAAGGCAAAAATCAAGCATTTCCGATGGAACAGCGTATATTTCTGGGAGCTTCGCTTTTCAGTTCTGTCGCGACGGCCCAAGAGGTTACCAAAATGGACCCCAGACGGCCCCAGAGGCCCCAAAGAGAGTTCCAAGATGGGCTGAAGAGAGCTTCAAGCGGCACAGAAGATCTACAAGACGACCCAAGAGAGCTCCCCAGGAAGCCCGAGGGGGCCACCAGGGGGCCACCAGCAGGTCCGATACCCCCCCCCCCCGCGGGACCGACCAACCAACCTTCCTGCCTCCGTCCTCCCACCCTCCTGCTTCCCTCCTCCTTCCCTCCTCCTTCCCCTCCTTCCCCCCTCTTCCTCCCTCTCCCTACCTCTCCCCTCTCTCCCCTTTCCCCTCCCCCCTCCCTCCCCGCCTCCCTTCGCCTCGATGGGGAGAAGCCTGCCCAGCCCCCCCCCCTCCCCCCGCAGCGCCCCGCCCCCGCGCGCGCGCGCCCACCGCCTCGATGGCTCCGCCGCCGAGGAGACCGCGCGCGTGTGCTGGCGCGCGCGCGCGGGTCGAGGACTCTCGGGGGTGGACAGAACCCACACCCTGACACGTCGATCAGTGAATTGTCCGGTTCCAGTTCTCGAGAGGGCGCCGCGGCCGTCATTTTCCAGGCTTGCGCCCGCCAGGTTTGGGCCCGAGGTCGTTTTCACTAAACCACGTTTTACTAAAGGGGGTTCTGTCCATCCCCGAGACTCGTCGATCGGGGAGGGTCGGGAATCGTCGGTCGAGGGATCGTCGGTTCTTCCACGAAGGATCGGCGGTCGGGGATCGTCGGTCGAGGGGTCGTCGGTCCCCGTGGCTCCAGGAGAAGGCCCCCAAGCGCTTCTCCGAGAAGGCCAGAGGCCTTTTGAGCCTTCAGGGGAGGCCCGCCCCCATCTGCCTTCCCCCCCGGGGGGCGCCGCCGAACATGGACGTGCCCTGAGATCGACGACGCGAAACAGTTGCAACATCGTGAAGATTCACGACTGGAGCCCCTGACCCCATCTTTCTGTTGCGGCATAAATATGTGAGGTCCCTCGGGCCCGAAATTGCGCGAAAACGCCCGGCTCGGAAAAGTTGCGACGCCAGGAGATCTCAGGGTGTGTCTTTGTGCCTCCCCTGTTGGGTCGGAGTAGATGAGGTCGAGGGATCGCGCCGCCTCGCCGATGCATCGCCGATGCGGCTCGATGCGGAGACCGATTCTCTCCACGCCGGCGTCGCCGATGCATCGCCGGTGCATCACCGATGCATCGCCGGTGCATCACCGATGCATCGCCGGTGCATCGCCGGAGCATCGCCGATGTATCGGCGACGCCGGCGTGGAGAGAATCGGTCGCCGCATCGTCGATGCATCGGCGATGCGGCGCGATCCTCCGACCCCTCCTCCTCCTCTTCCTCCTCCTCCTCCTCCTCCTCCTCCTCCTCCTCCTCCTCAGCTGCTCCGACCCCGTCGGGGAGGCCTCTCGTGTCTCCGCCTGCTCTCTTCTTCCCCCCTCGCCCGGCGCCCCATTGGCTCGAGCCTCTCCGCCTCGCCTCACAGAGAGCACCTTGAGCCACCCTTTGAAAGCTCCGCCCCGGCGGCCAGGGCCGCGGCGGGGCGGCGAGAGCCCCACCCCCCCATCGTTGCGGCGACGACGGGGGCGACGGCGACGGCGGCGGCGGCGGCGGCGACGGCGGCGACGGCAGCGACGGCGACGGCGATGACGGCGGCGACGGCGGCGACGGAGGCGGCGGCGGCGATCCTCTTTTCCTTTCCTCCTACCCTCGTCCTCCTCCTCCTCCTCCTCCTCCACTTCCTCCGTCCCTCCTCCTCCTCCTCCTCCTCCTCTTCGCTCCTCCTCCTCCTCCTCCTCCTCCTTGTTCTCGTCTCCCTCCGCCTCCCTCTTCCTCAACCTTATGCCTTATGCCTCCTCCAGCGTCTTCCCGTGTCTCTCCTGCTTGCTCATCCCTACTTCTCCTTCGCACTGGCCCACTTTGTGCCCGTGTAATTACCGTATAGCTTTTCCGTTAACTTGGCATCTTTATCTCGGCCATGAGTTTGATTTCCGAGACCATATCTTTATTGCTTGGGGCATGGCGGGTGTCATGGCCCCCGCCCCCCCCCCTATGACGTAACGCTCCCCCCCCCAGTGCGCTCCGGGCACTGCCGCCGTGCGCATTGGGATCCGCGTAGGAATCCGCATAGGAGTGTGGTCCGCAGTCGTCGACGTCGTCGTCGTCGTCGTCGTCGTCGTTGCTCGTGGCTCGTGGCTCGTCGCTCGTCGCTCATCGTCGTCGTGCGCGCGGTCGCGGCTGGAGCCAGTTTTTTATTCCGGGCCGATGACGGCAATCATCTGGCGGGGTGGAGGGGGTCGATGACGTCACGCTTCGCGTTGGCGGCGCCTGGGAATGCCTAGGAGTGACGGAGGACGGGTGGCACCAGCATGTAGGTGGCGATTTGCACCACAACGCCTGGGTACACCTCAGTGCCTGCGTGCACCACAGCGCCTGTGTACACCACAGCAGCCGCGTGCAACACAGCGGCAGTTTGTGCCACCGCGCGCGCGGGCACAACAGCTCTTGTGCACACCACAGCGCCTGCGTACACCACAACAGCCGTGTGCAATACAGCAGTGTATACCACAATGCCTGCGTGCATTGCAGTGCCTGTGTACACCACGGCGCTTGTGTGCACCACAGCAACAGTGTGCAACACAGCACCCCTGTTATATGTAGAATGTTGGAAGGAATCGTTATGACAAAATGGAGCGTTTGTGGATTCCACCGAAAACACCAGAAAATAATCCGTCTGGACAAGGGAACGCCAGGGGAATCGACGAGCCCTTCCGACTTCACCCGCATCACCATCACTCTTCCAATCTGCGTCCAGGAGGCTCCAGCTAAATTGGCCGTCCGAGAACCAAATGGGCCGATTCAATCGACCATTCTGCGGTGCACGCTGAGTTGCGCACGTGCGCTGTAGCGCCAACCCGCACGACAGGGGGTAAGGAGGAGGAGGAGGAGGAGGAGGAGGAGGAGGAGGAGGAAGAGAAAAAGGAGGAGGAGGAGGTGGAAGTGGAGGAGAAGGGAAGAGGGAAAAACGTCGCATTCGATTTTCAGCACTTTCTTGGCGCGGCGCTTCCGCAGCAGATCCTCACGTGCAGGCTCCTTCTACCTGTCCTATGCACGCAGGCACTGTGGTGTACAAGAGCGCTGCGTTGCACGCGGATGCTGTGGTGTAACAGGCGCTGTGGCGTGCACAGGCGCCGCGATGGTGCACGCAATCACTGTACTGTAAACGGGCGCTGTGTTGCACATGGTTGCTTTTAGTGCGCACATGTACACCAGCGCTGTAGTGCACGCAAGCAATGCAGTGTACACTGGCGCTGCCTTGCACACGGTTGTTGCGATGTACGCAGGCGCTGTGGTGTACACGCGCGCCGTGATGAACGCGAGCGATGTGGTGTACACAGGCGCACAGGGGGCAGATCGCCACCTACATGCTGCCCGCGTCTTCGTCGTCGCTCGTCGCTCGTCGCTCGTCGCTCGTCGCGTCGTGCGCGCGGGCGCGTCTGTGGTGCCGGCGGGGAGCGGGGGGGGCGTTACGTCATACCCCCACCGCCCCCCCCCCATGACCCCCGTCATCGCCGAACATTAAAAAACGCATTCTTCCTTTGTCAAATGTGGGGAAGCGTTCCAAGTGGCCCCGCATTCTGAGAAGAAGTGAAGGACCGAAGAACGCTACTCCTTTTGACTCGCCGCTAGCCCTCTCCCCCACTCTTCCCCTGTCAGTCGCGTCCTCCCTCCTGGTCTCTCCTCCCCCCCGCCTCTCATCCTAACCCCTCGCCTGTCCCCCGTGTTCCGCCTTCCGTTCATGTCGCCGCCCTGGTCTGTGGAAGCATTCAAATCTTAGCGGTGGAAGAGTTGTTCGTTTTCTTCGAGCAAAGTGTGCCGTGATCCTCCTTCTTCCTTCGTTTTCCTCCCCTCCCCCACCCCGCGTCCCTCCTGCCGCAGGGCTCGACCTGAACGGTGTTTTGGCGATTTCGTGCACCGTTCTCGTTTTGATTCCGTTGCGCAGCAAAGGAGGAACGAAGACACAACGAGGGAGAATGAAAGCAAAACGAGAGCGAAGAGAGCACCCTTTTGGTCGAGCCCTGTCCTGCCTGCTCAGTCCTTCTCCGTCCCTCCTCCCCCCCTCCTCCCCTCTCGTGGCCCCCCCTTACTGTCATGCCCCCCCCCTTCTCAAGGGGGGGGGGGGGGGATGACAGCGAGGGGGGGCTAGGAAGGAGGGAGAGGGAGGAGGAGGAGGAGGAGGAGGAGGAGGAAGAGCCCCCCCCCTCTCGCTGTCACCCCCCCTTCTCTCTATGGGGGGGGGGATTCACGCTGTCACCACGGTCTCGGCCGCCCGCACACCTCTGCGCGCCTGCACCGATCCTGCCCAGTCCAGCCCCTGGCCATGGCTCAGCACCGGTGTGCACCAGACAGTTCGGGGGCGGAAAAGAGGGGGGTGAGGACTAGGGGGGGGTGGATCTCATGGCGGGGGCCATGATATCTCCCCAGATTTCATGGCGCCCCTTCTTGTTTCATTACGTCCCTGGACCCCCCGCTGGGCCGCGCACATGCCGCCGGTCATGATTTGCACCCCCCCCTCTTGGACACCCCCCTCTTGGCCGCTCCCAATAAGCAGGGCCGCTTCGGGCTCCGGGGGGCTCTGCAGGTGCTGGGCCGCCCCTGAGATCCAGGCCGGGGAGCCCAGTCGTGGCCGAGGCCCGCCGAGGCCAGGAAAGCCCCTGCGTGCCTGGCCGTGCGCTCCTGAGGTTGGCACGCTGACTGCGGGATCGGTGTGTACAATTCGGGGAAACGTAAGACCCGAGTAAGCCGGCACTCGGGTTAGCCGAAGTTTTTTGACGAGCGCGTCCAGGATTTTGACGGTCTGGTTTTTGTGGGATGTCTGCAGCGGGAGCTCGCGTCAAATTTCAGATTGGGCCTCGTCATTTTTAGAAGGGCCCCGTCCGGCAAAATCCGAGTCCCCCGTACCCGAGTCTTGCGTC